TATAAAAAAAAAAATCGATCATGGATTACAAAAAAAAAAACAATTCGATCATGGATTACAAAAAAATCGATCAAGTATTGCAAAAAAATATATCATGGATTACAAAAAAAAAAAAAATTCCGTACGGGACTCGCCGATTCCGTACAGTGAACCGGCGAGTCATTGTACAGAAACGTCCGGTTCTCTCTAAAACCGGACGATTCCTGTTTTTTGCGCTGATTCGATCCGTCTGTGGCGATTTTCGAGTCGAACCGGGCGACTCAACGTTTTTTAAAACACTGCTTTGGACTATTGAAAACTGGGGGACTGGCCGAAAAAGAGCATAAAATTATCACAGAGTGAAAGAGAATAGTAGTTATAGGGATGTTCAGGTCCATTTCACTATAAAAATGGAGTTCTAGAGATGGAAATGGATGGAATAAGGTGATAAAGTGAGGTTTTAAGGAGAAATGGCAACAAAAGTTTGCCGGATTTTGGCTCTAGAGTGAAATTTTAGAGGAACGAGGCCAAAATTAAAAAAGAGAAAGACATTTCGGGTGAAATGAGAATAAATGAATTTGAGGTAGAGTGAGATATTAGACAACATTAGAAAGATGTTCGGACGGAATTTGGGAGGAGAGGGGACTTCCGGTCAAATCACGTGAAGAGAGAGACCCAAAGGGGATTTAGAAAGTTACGTCTTTTTTAAATTTGTTTGAGATAAAAAAAGAAAAAAAAAAGAAAAAAAAAAGGTAAAGTTGGGTTTGAAATTTAGGTCACTAAAAAAATGAAACTTAAAAACATTGTATTGATAGATATTTTTTTAAAATTTTATGTTGTATCGGAAAAGCTTGCTCTCGAGACCTTGCGCATATGGTTTCCACTTGACATTTGTTTGTGATGTCGATGGGTACTGGGGCAATAGGGTCATTTTACATCGTATGCCTTAAGGCTATGCCAGCATAGCGTACCTTGCTTGCCAGTTCAACTAGCCCCGAAAGTGAAATGGTCGGAATTTAATGCACACAAGTACCCCGTTATCTTAGCCGAATGACAAATTGATCCAAGTAAGGCTTTTTAATTGTCAAGGGTATATAGGGATTTCCGAAGCTGATACTCTCCCATTTAAGAGGTGCTGCCGCTGCTTTACATTTTTCATCTTCGATGTTATTTTCTATGTTCCTTAATTATGTACGTGTTTTTTATAAAGAAATTTTTTATATAAGGTTGCGATCTTCTATAATAGAAGTAAGGTGTATCTCAAAAATTTAATTAAAAAGAGTGCTACACAGTTGGGAAACCTTTCGATTGATCATCTCGACCTCAAGGGGCATAGATATAAAGAAAAAAAAACTTGCTCGCCCTAAAAAATACATATTATAACAAATTATTTGGATTGTTTATTTTTTAATATTTTCAAGTGTTTATAAATTTATTTGATCTGCACCATTTTTTCAAGCTATTGTAGGGTTTCTGACATGGAAATTATATTTAGTAACAAAATTTAGTCGTACGCCTTTTTGTATAGTATAAATTGGACACCTTATACAAACTTCATCCTTATTATCATGCCACAAAATATCAATTGAAAGATAAATTTTGTACAAAGATCTATAGAACTATTATGCGAGTTGGTCTTGGATTGGGAATCAGGTGCTTATTGCGATTGACCTTGGGTCACCTAATTCTCTTTTCTTGTTTTTTTCATATTTCTTAAATATAATCCAAATTTAAGAACCACCCAAGTCGAATTGGGGGAATCGGAATCAGAGTCAGAGTGAAGTTCGGTCATCGAAACACTGATTGTGACCAATGAAAAACATTGTCACCTCCCTAGAAGAAAAATAATAGAATTCCAAATAAGGGAAAATGTCAACTTATTTTCATTTTGAAGAGGACACAAGAGGGAGAAGAAAAAAAAATACATTGCTTGAAAAATTTACAAAAGCTTTTTTGAGGACTGAAATGTCTTTAACGAAGAAAACATAACCACCTAGTTGAAAAAATTGAGACTCGCTTCTAGATAAGCACATGGACATCCTTGTACTTTCTAAAAAGACAAAGGCATGGGATTTGGAACCTCTCTATAGGGGCAAAGTCGACCTTTTTCCCAAATTCAAAAGCACATATGGTCAATTTCTTAATTGTTTAGGGCAAGCAAAAGCAGAGCCATTAAAGACGGCTTCCTGTCACTCCAATGATAGCTTGGAATTAAGGTAAATTTACCCACTAATTTTGAAAAAGGAAGGAAAATAATGTGAAAAAGAATTAAAAAATGCCAAAAAAAAAAGGAGAAAAGAAAGCTGAAAAAGATGGATCCAATCCCCATACAAAGCATAAATTACTAATAAGAGGAGTGTTCTTCTTCATTGTTACTCATCTGCTCTCTGCAACTAAAACTGGTTTTTCCTTTGTTTAAAGAGGAAGAGAATTTTAGAGTTAAGGGTTAATGGGGCAAGAGGTTTTCATATATGGGTTTGTAGCCAGAGGAACCATGGTGTTATCAGAGTACACTGAATTTACGGGAAACTTCCCTTCCATTGCCTCCCAATGTCTTCAAAGACTCCCCTCTGCAAACAACAAGTTCACTTACAACTGTGATCACCACACTTTCAACTTCTTAGTGGAAGATGGTTATGGTGAGTCTTTTAGTTTACTAGTTCGAATTCCTTTTTTTTTTCCTTATGTTTCTGTTTCCTTTAGATATATATATATTTCCCCGTATTTGTAGTGATGTATATGTGCTTTGAGGTCTACAACGTCGAATATGATTTTCTTTTTTTGGGTTTTTTTTTTTCCTTGTTTCATTGCTTTGCCTATGAGTAATGTCAGGACCAGTGCAGCTATCTAACGGGAAATACATTAAGTGCTTATGTTTTGCCTTTTGTCTAATTAACTGTTAACTGTGTGTTTATTTTCCTTTGTACATCTATGCACTGCAATCTGCGTGATCACCATTCTCATTATTTTTTCAATCATTGGTTAATTGATTCGATCTCCATACAACTGCAAGTATAATGGATTTAGAAAGCTGGTTACGTTTAACGATATTTTTTCTAATTTCATTTCCTTTCAGCTTGTTTACTATGTTTCTTTTTGTTCTTTTAATTTTTATAGATGTTTAGAAAGTGGGTTAATTTTATTTGTTTTCTGTGTGGTTCAGAATCCTGGATTGAGAGGTCAGGTGTTGGGTTTTTTTTCTGGGTCATGTGGGTTTCACTTTGTATGTTTCTATTTAAATCTTGATTGAATTTTTTTCTTTCCTCTATTTTGTTCCTTCTTAGCTTGTTTAGTTTCTGATTCTTGTTTTTATCTTCAGTTTTTCTATGGAAATTCGTATTCAATTTACATCACACTTATGAATCTTTCTTCTGCAAGTTGATTTCTTTATCTTCTTGGCTAACTAGCATTCTAGATTTTGCACGGATGGTAAGTGGGTTTTGGCGCCACAATGACATTAAATTGTTGATTTGTTTCCTGTGCTTCTGTAAAATGATATATTATTTTTGAATGTTAATGCTTCTGTAAAATGAATTCTGTTTGATTAGTTGGACTAGAGATTCAGGGCTTCAAAAGACGGGTCGTGGCTTCTCTAGGTGATTGATGGGTGTTGAAATATTGCTATTGGGTATTTGCTTGAATCAGTTATTTTTGTGTTCTTTGCGGATCATGGACTAAAACTACATCGTGGTTTAAGATGCCAAATACATTACAGCTAGTCATCAGGCCCATATAGCTTCATGTGGCTTGCTAGGCCTGTCTTTGATAGTTCTACGTCCCCCTTAGCTATTGAGGTATCAGAATTGGTCGTGGTTTGTCTTGATAAAATCATGTTTCGGTCTTGGAGCTTGCAGCCTACTGTGTCGTTGCAAAAGAATCAGTTGGAAAACAGTTGTCCATAGCTCTTCTAGAGCGCATCAAGGCAGATTTTAAGAAGAGATATGGTGGAGGGAAAGCTGATACAGCCATTGCCAAAAGTTTAAACAAGGAATTCGGGTAAAGTCTCTTGCTTTTAACAGATTGGTTTTTCCATCTATCTATCTATTATTTTTTCTCATAAAGAGTGCATCTGGAATAGGACAGGCCTTTAATCAAGGAGCACATGCAGTATGTCATCGACCATGCAGAAGAGATTGGGAAACTTGCAAAAGTGAAGGCTCAGGTCTCTGAGGTTCAAAGTGTAATGCTTGAAAATATTGAGAAGGTACTTAAAACTTCGATAAATTTAGCTCTAGTTTACCTAAATTAACTTTTTCAAAGTTCAAACACAGTAGTAAGCCTTTCACATGTGGCACATATGGCCATGAGTTGAACAAAATTGTAACTGTGGCCTTCATGTAATCATGTCCTTCAGCATGCTTAAGTTTTATGTGCAGTCATTTGCTTGCAATAGGTCCTTAGAACATCTCTATAAAAACCCTTCACTTTTCTTATCATCAGTAGATGACCTTGGGAGTTCAACTTACTGAAGAGAGAGAGAGAGAGAGAGAGAGAAGAAAACGATGATGCCAGAAATTCAACTCATACCCCATTCATTCTAGCTATGTCTTGATGGACTATGTAATGCATCTTGAGGTGTTTTAGAATTGCTTCAACTACAAACTAGAAGATGGCAAACCTTGCTGACTTTAGAATGTCACTATGCTTTCTCTCCTAGTGTGACTGATGAATAATATTGAGTTCTCCGGTTCTTTAACTTACCTAATCACCATGTAGAGAACAAGTATTTTTACTCGCGGTGCCATCATCAGTTATGCATGTGATGTACCTAATATTGATTAGAGGGACCTGGTGCAATATGCCCTACTAAATCAAAATTTTAAATCATTGAATTGTAACCGAAAAGTGCAATGGTATTCTCCTATGAATTACCCTTTGGACCTTATATAATTCCCGTGAATTATCACAAGTAACATTGAGACTCTCTCTCTCTCACCCCCCACCCCTTTCTCTCTCTTTTCTTTATCCATCCATGATGCATTTGAGACAATGGACTGCAAATGAGATGCCATAGTTGCAGTTATGGAGTGACTTTGTAGTCTACAATTATATGCCTGTATGTTATGGGCAGGCCAATGTCAGAATCTCACTCGCAAGTTCCATTCATAACTAAACCTTAGGTTCTGAAAGGTAGAAACCTCAGCAAGAGAATTGAGCTTCAAAAGGCCCTAGGACTGAGCTCATGTGGATCAGGACTGTTTACTGAAATTGTTGGAAGTGTACAACTTGACATTTTCACACAAGATCACAATATCGTGATGTCTAGAAGTTACACAGATATTGCAATGAGGGCATCAAAACTTGCTGACATTGGAGTTTCATTATTTGTTTATAGAGATCCTCCTGTTCATTACTCATTCATGTGTCTTTTTTCTGATTATCACTTCTTTCTTAGATATAAAATATGTGTGCTGTACTCAATTTTGCTGAACAAAAGCTTGAATTGCCCTTCTAAGAAGTAAAAAAGACAAAAATTTCAGAAGTTACTGTAAATCTACTGTTATGTGTTAAACCTTAGGTTTGATCTTAGGCCTAGCAGCCTATGCATTTCAATTGGAGATCTCGAGTGAACTCTCTTTATCTCCATTGACTTAGCTTACATAGATAATTTGTATCACACATTTATTCAACTGAAAACTACTCAAGTCTCTCTTTCCTTCCACCCAAGATTTGGTTTTAGACCTAGCAGCTTATGCACGAGTGAGAGCTCTCTCGCTATCCACCCTTAGCAATCTACATGGATAATTTGTGTGACTTTTTTATTCAACTGAAAACTTCTCAGTTCTTGGCTGGTGCAGTTTAATTTTGAGGCCTGTGAATTTATTTTATGATTTGTGCAGAAAAGAATACATATGCATGGATATAACTCATTTTTTCGTAAGACAAAGCCCTCCTAGCAAGAAAGAACACAGGACCTCTCCACCTTACTCAATTTGGAATGGTGGTCTTTCTACAAGTAACACAAGGAAGACAATGCGTGTTTTAAACGCATATGTGGTTGAGATCATTAAGATGTCTATAGATATGCCATGTGCAACATCTGCACACACAAGTTTCGTTTTATGATTTTGTATGCTCCAGTGGTATTGAAGAATGTTTGTGAAATTGCAAATTATATGGATGGTTTCTCAGTGGAATTTGATTTCCCAGCTTAGGAGAAAGATGTTTTTGGTTATTTCCAAGAGTGCAGAGTTCCTTCCATCTCAATTTGGATTTTGAAATAAATTTCTCTTGCTTATTAGCCGACTTTTGGCTATTCCTATTGCTTTTGATGATTTGTGTTATGACCCAACATAAAAGAGGTGATTCATGTGCATTTTTTTCTTGCATCATGGCTTTCAGACTCTAGATAGAGGGGAGAAAATGGATGTTCTTGCAGATAAAACAGAGGGTCTACGTTCTCAGGTAATCTCTCTCTCTCTCTCTGAGTTGTACTTTTTTAGTTCAGACGTTGTTCCTAATCATTGATCTTTGAAGGAAGTTCAAAGAAAAGCTTTCTTCCTAATTATTGATCTTTGAAGGAAGTTCAAAGAAACACTTTTATGTCTCCTTTCATGTCTTCAGACTCTTTACCACCCTTGGGAGATGATCATAATGAATTGGTATCTTCTGTTGTGGCTAACTTACCCATATGCCCCTATACAAAATAACAGTAATAATTGCTTAGACTTATCTTAATTACAATATGTGGAGAGCATGATCATATTGAAATAAAATTCTGGTATTCTATTCATCTCTTGTTAGTTTTGGGTTTTCTGTTTCGCCTACCTAAATAACCCGCCAATTATTAATATGTGGGTGCTGTGGTATAACAGTCATAATCAGAAGATGCAGGGACTTTTGGCCAATTATATGTCAATCACATTGCTGCTATTTGTTTATGAGGGAGTATAATATTCTCCAATGAGAGCACACTATACAGTTACACCCTTGAGCAAAAGACCTGCATAAGAGAACTTTCTCGACAGATCTACTTTAGAATCCCCATCTGAATGTTTTCCAATATATATATATATATATATATATATTGAATTCTTAATCAAGTAGATCTGACTGTCTGAACATTGGTTGGTCTTTGTTTAATTTTTTTTTCCTGGCACATATGAAGTGCATATGGTTTTTCTTGTTCTTGTTTTTTTTTTTTTTTTGAAGTTGGTGTGGGGTTTGAGGAGGTTTTCTCAAAATTTGGGTCCTTCTGGATAGGGTTTTACCCTAGGGAGTGAATGTTCAATATACTCCCACAGCAGCATAAAATCTTTTGGCTTATTTGTTGGGGTTGTCTAAAATGAGCGCATTGAACTTCCTACTGTACCCTCAGATAACACCAGCCCTCATTTGTCAATGAGGGATGGCAGGGGTGTCTCGGTTCTTACACTCAAACTGTGCCCCGTGCCCCTTGTTTACATTCAATGGTTGGGGTGATGTTAAAGCATTGTAGGAAATTTCATTGCCCTCATGTTTTACTTTATTTATTTATTGAACTTTGCTGTTTGCAAGCACGAATGACATTAACTGCATTTGTTAGGATTCAATGTTTGATATGGTTCTCAATTTATCAATACCAATTAAGTATTGCGGATGGTTTCTTTCAGGCCCAGCAGTTTCAGAAACAAGGAACAAATCTACGCCGTAAATTGTGGTTTCAGAACATGAAGATAAAGTTGGTGATCCTTGGAGTGCTGTTGCTTTTGGTTCTCATAATCTGGGTTTCCGTGTGCCATGGATTCAAGTGCACCAACTAACTCTTTCGTCACACCGTGAAGCAAGGGCCAATCCCTTCTTATAATCTCGTTTTTGATAAACATTTTTGTTGTGATTTTGTTTCTTGGTAGAGGTTGAGCTAATGCTGTGAAAAGTTATATGAGTCATCATTTGTTTCAATTGTGTCCTTAACAGTGGTGTACAAATATCTCTATTTTGACAACCTGGGGAAGAGTGGAAATAAAAAGTTGCAAGGCTTTTCATATACATGCATATCGCGTTCATTTTTTAGGGTTTTTGACTTGCAAGGCTTTTCATATACATGCGTATCGCTCTCATTTTTTAGGGTTTTTGACTTGCAAGGCTTTTCATATACATGCGTATCGCTCTCATTTTTTAGGGTTTTTGACAAGCAATCAACGATTCATAATCTCTCTCTCATACACATGCACACAGATCTCTAAGAATGGCTTTCTTATGCTACTGCTGATTTTGCATGTGTTTTACACTGGTGTGTTGTCTCTTTTACCGATACCTGATGCCCTATTTTAAAAGGAAGCAAATAAAAACTGAAAGTCGAAATTGATCTTTAAATGCACCATTGCTTCTAGGAATTCTAGTCGTTGAGGAGGCTTCTTTGATGCATTTCATTTTTTTTTTCTTTTTTCTCAGGGCCGGGGTGCACGTATCTTCGTCAATAAAATACTAAAAAATATAAAATAGTCTTAAAACCTACCCAACTTCCAATACAATAACTTGTACAAAATAATCTTAAAACCTACCCAGCTTCTACTGCAAGAACTTCTTTCGAGTCCGATTGATTAAGGTGTTGACTATTGTTCGAGTTGGATTGATTAAGGTAATTTCTTTCGAGTCCGATTGATTAAGGTGCTGACTATTGTTCGAGTTGGATTGATTAAGGTGCTTGACTATTGTTCGAGTCGGATTGATTAAGGTGTTGACTATTGCAAAGCTTATCCCAAGTTGGATTAAGGCCCGGCAATGCATCGGGCCGCTCGAACCCATAGGGCTGGCATTGGGTGGAATATAGAGAAAAGTTCAAATGACTCTGTAGGGTCTAGAATCCTAACAAAGTCCATTGTAACTCATTGTGATTTCATAACCTAATTTTAAAAAATTTAAATTATTTTCCCATTATTTTCCATTTTTCAATTTATGACTATTTTTCAGGTTTTTTAATAATTTTTTTTTACCCCTCAATCTCTCATTGCATATTGCAATACATATATACCCACTAGTTGATATATGGGTATAGACACACATGACTCAATAGATCTAACTTTTAATCACATACATAAAACTATAGTAAAATATTATATATATATACATACATATAATAAAATGGGTGCAGTTTGTATAGAGCCTAGGCTCTAAACAATCAAATTAGAGCCTACCTTCAAATAGTATCGAGAAATGTGGTTTTAATACTGAAAATATTTGTGATAGCCTTAAAATATATATTTATCTTTATTTATAAAGTTAAAGCTTCAAAAATAGTGTATATCGACATATCTATGAAAGTTTGAAAATCTTGAAAATTAATAGCCCAAAAATGCTTTATAAAATACACTGTTTCAAAAACTTGAAATCTATTTTTTTCTTATATCCATGCATCTTCATGTTGTGATGATCAATTTGAGAATATTTTGATATCAAAACAACCACTTCTAGTTAAATTTTCGAGGTAGGCTCAAATTTGATTGTTTAGAGCCCCGGCTCTATCTAAACTTTTCCCTAATAAAATTTATGTTTTGTTCACATTTGCATTTGCATATTCAACTATTCATATATAATAACAATTGTAAAGCATCTCAACAAAATAAATTAAATTAATGGTCCTAATAATTTTACTTTGCGAATCGAAAATTTATTCGTCAAAACTTTCTTATAATCCGATGCAACATTGTCTCATAACAATAAGGAAAAAACTAAAAACTAAAAACTAGATATTGATTGACAATGTAACACCCTCAATTATTTCATGGCTATTGAATTTTCTGAATTATTTTTATTATTGAAAAATAATGTTTCTAAACAAATAAATACCAAATTCTAAAATTGAAACGTATCAAAAAAACACTCAATTAGTATCGTGTCTATTTCTAGAAGTGTCGAGCTGGTTAGATCTTAAGACACGTGTCTATGTTTAATAGATATTAACTGCTTAATACGTGATATCCATAACCTTGGTTTTCAAAACCTTTTATAACTGCCATGCACTTAATTCCCACTATTTAAGATCCAAATATTTACTTTCAAAAAATATTAAAACATAATATTTTAAAAAAATTACATATATATCTATTGTAGTTTTTGTTATTACGACTCTATCGGATAGTTTCTGTTATTATCATTGTGTCCGTTTTTTCATATCAAAACAAATTTTTCTAAAAAAACAACTTTACATTTTTTTCGGTTGTTGAACAATCAAATTCAAAATATTTTCGATTGTTCAACAATAAAAAATACACCAATTTTGGTTATTGAAGAACCAAAAATTTTAAATTTTCGATTGTTGAATAACCTAAATTTTAAATTTTCGATTATTCAAGAACAGAAAAATGTTTTATTTTTCTTGTAGCTTATTTTCTCTACCTCATTGAAGTCATAGTTATTCGATAAAATAAAAGATTATGAGCCTAAAAGTCTCATAATTAGAGATTATGAGACTAGAAGATTAGGAGAAATCTTGTGTGTATTCTTTCTCTACCTCTTTGAAGTCATGGTTATCCGATAAAATTAAAGGACCAACTAATTTGAGCCTTTACATTTAGGAGAAATATTAGTGATTATAAATATACTAAAAAAAAAGCTCGTTGAAGAAGAGAGAGGGAGTTAAAAAAAAGAAAAATTTATTTTTACCTATATAATGTAGAGAGAGAGGTACTGAGAGGATACCCAGAACCACGAGATAGAAAAAATTTTAGTTATTGAAGAACTAAAAATTTAAAATTTTTGGTTATTCAAAAACTGAAATGGGCCTAGTTGTTGAACAACCCAAAGTAATTTGAATTTTGGTGGTTCAACAACAAAAAAGGATAAATTCGGTTTTATTTTTATTTTTTAAATTTTCATTTTGATATAAAAAAATAACGGGGATATGAATGTAATTTTTTCTAATATTTATGTGAAATATTAAAACATGATGTTTATCTGAAGTATTGGAACACTATATTTAAAAAAAAAAGAAATATCTGTCCACACCAAAACGGATCAAATTAAGGAACGGAGAAGGCTTTCTTCTTTTCCTTTCATCCTAGAGAGAGACTGTCCCTCTTTTTTTTACAGATTCCAAATCAAGAATCAATTTCCCCACCTCTTTCTCTCATAAGTTGAGCATGGACTGCATGTCTCATGTGGTGTGGAAATACTACATATGAATCAGAAGTGAACTCGTCTCTCACTTCACAAAATCTCAATTTTGATCGTTCGGCTACCACCTACTGTGCGACCTTGATATTCCCTCCATCAAAAAATTGCAGGTATTCACCTTCAAAGTTTAAACCCCATCTCTCTATTTTCCTTCTTATTTCTTATTTAAAGTTTAAATTCCTGATCATTAGTGTTCTCTAAGTTTTTTTTTCTCTAGATTAGTTTCTTTTCATTTTCTTTAGGCTATTTGATTGCACACAAATATATTTATATTTTAGAATTTGGAGCAATTCAAACAAATTCTAATCGCAAAAGGAGAAAATGATGTTTGATAACCCACAATTGTATCCTAAAATTCTAATTCTCTCTGTCGAAGCTTGAGCACTCTCTACAAGGCCTAGGGCTGTAATCTCGTGTCCATTCCCTCCGCCTCTCTTTTTGCTGAAGCTCGAGCTCTGATCTTTAATGGAGGATGGCAACCAAAAGCCCAAATGGTAGGTTTGTTTCAAGACTCCTGGCAATGTGATAGCAGCTCGGAAGATGTCAAGCTTTAACATGACCTATTCTAAAGACCCCAATATGACACTCCGAGCTTTAACATGAATTATTTTGGATTTCATGTTCACGCTGCTATTTGGAAAAAGTGTCTACAGATGCAGAGTTATACATGACCTATTTTGGTTCATTTTATGCTTTCTTTCCTTGTGGTTTAGATGCAGTTGGAATACAGTTTGAGAAGAGGCATCGCCCGTAGTGTAGCCATCAAAATTAGGGTTCGACTCAAAGACTGTCTCTATTTGACTGGTGTTGTTGGGTTTTCTCTCTCTAGCTGGTGTTAATGCTCTCTCTAGCTGCCTCCCCTATTTGATTGGTATTCTGGGGTTCTCTTTCTACTCTCTTTAGAGATAACTCACCCTTTGTACAAAGATTTTGATGCGATCAAGCCTAAATGTGGCAAAAGAGCATTAGTTGGGTTTAATTCTTTCAAAAGGAAGCACATAGAAGCTCCATTTAAGCTCTAATAGATTTGGGGAAAAATTGACAAATTCTTATTTTTCGGTCCAAGTTCAAAATCTATGAAATTTTAATACAAGTAGTTAGTCAAACTTGCACAAGCTAACATACATCAGGATACTATATATTCCTGATACATGAATTCCAGCAATGCCTTTATTCAAATTTTTTAAAATCGGAATATTAAGGGTGTGTTTGACAATAGGAAGTTGCTTCCTGGAAGTTAGAACTTAACCATTTCATCTTCTGTGTTTGATAAAAAACGGTAAGGTAAATAAAGAACTCACCTATCATTGTTCATGTTTCCAGCTTTGTATGTAAAATAAGTTCCGACTAAAAGGTCGGAACTTGAAAAGGGAAGTTTATATCAAAACTTCCCCCCGATAAAATTGTGCCCTAGGGTTTACTCAGCTGCTCAGCCAACCCTCTCTTCGCAATTAGCTGCTCAGCAAAACAGCAGCTCCACTGCAAAAGTTTTCTCTCGCTCTCTCTTCCCAGGAAAGGCAGCCTCTCGCCCAGTACCATTCGCGGCCTTGCAACCTCAACAAGTACCTCCAATAAGTGAGTTATTTGTTGATTTTGCATTTTGTTCTTCTTTTTTCTTGCTAATTTCGGATTTCTCTATTAGCAACATTGTTCTCAGGGCCTTTTTTTTAGAGGAAACCCTATAAAAAAATTTCTCTGGTTAAATCTACGTATTTTTGTATAATTTCCTATGTTGAATGTGGTGTTAAATTGGTTTAATAGTTTTCTATGCTGTAAATCGAGTTCTAAGGCAATGCAAAAGCTTTATGTCATGATTTTTCTATGTTGTAAATCTAGATTCAGGGTTAACTGATTGTTTTGAGTGCTTGACATCAAGTTCCCTGACAATCTATCCGTATTAGAGTGCTTGTTGGTTGTCTGCATGATAAGATATTAGAGAGCTTGTTGGTTTTCTGCATGATAAGAATATGGATGCACAATCATTTGATAGTTTGGGTTCTTGTTGGAATCAGTATACTTCATTCCAGACTGCTGTAATTTTGATTAGCTTGATTCACTGTGAGATTGCTACATTAGCATCACCCTAGTTCATGCAAACCTTAAAATTTGATATACTGTTTTTATTATGGAAACAATCCCATAAAAAATTGAAAAAATTGAATTAGAGCTCCAAGAATTCTCAACCCTCAAACGCAATTTTGGACAAATGCAAAAGATTTAAGTCTTTTGGAGCTCCAAATCGAATATTATTTCGAGGAGCCACTCCAAAAATAGTTTATTTGAAAAAGAGGACTAGAAAAAAAAAAGACTTACTTGGTTCAGATTTTCAGATTAGCTTGGGTAATCCGTCAAAAAAGTAGTTTTGATTAGCTTGGGTAATTCATATTTTCTTGTATCTCTCTCCTCTACCTCTTCTCCTACTTGCTTGGTTCAAATCTCCACAAAAAACCATATTCTCTTCTACTAAACTCATTCTCCAATTCAACTGCAGGTTGTTTTGGTAATGGGGTAAGGCTGGATCTCCTTACTCTTCACCAATCTGGACCCTTTATGGACTTTGAACACCACCACTCTGATCCTTCACTACCAAACCTATTAGACTATGAGACCACCATCCCCAACTTCTTCGAGTTCTGTGATACCAAGCACAGGGACTATTGTCCATGCCATGACACCAAGAGAGAGAAGAAATTTGACACCCATATGCTATTTTTAAGAGACTATTCGCATCAAATGAGTATTATTGGTTTTAGTTTTGTAGGACTTCTGTCAAGAAACTTTAGTTTCTGGAAATGGTCATAATCAAATTTGGAAATTGGAAGGTGGTTTCGGGTTCATAATGAATGAGGATTTGGTTTCAGTGCTCTTATTGAACTAATCCCAAAACAACATTCCAATTTCCAAATTTGACTATGACCATTCCCAGAAACTAAAGTTTCTTGACAGAAGTCCTACAAAACTAAAACCAATAATACTCATTTGATACGAATAGTCTCTGAAATTGCTCAGATGTCGTTTGGATGACAATTCAATTTATCCATTAACCTTTTCAATGCCCTTTTCCGTTTAACTAATCCATTTCACATCCTTATTTGAGAAATTGCTCGGATGTCTTTTGGATGACATTTCAATTTATCCATTAACCTTTTCAATGCCCTTTAGAAAATTATTGCTGAGTTATTGAGAAGGTTTTCGTCATTATACTGTAAATTGTGGCAATACGCTATCATGAATATTAGCATCCTAACTGTTACTTACTGTAAGGATCTTCAGCTATATTGCGTTTGAAAGAAATAATAAGATTGGCTGCAATGATTATGATGGCATCACATAGTTAGCATGATTTAGTCATTAAGGGGAAGGTGAAGCTATCAGGTGAGATGTTTTCATGCAACATGTGGGTGTAGAGAGAGAGAGAGCATTAGTTGGGGATGGATTTGATGACAATATTCTGATTATGACATTTCATATGGGATAGCTCATAATGGAATGCATTGCTTTAACCGCAGATGAGACCTTGGGTCTCTTCTTATATGAGATATTTCCTTCTTCTGATACTTATCTATTTCTATGCTCTCTAGTCTATTCATTGCCCATTTAGCTCCTTACTGATTGTGTATACCTGCCATATTCTATGCACCTTTTGCTTGGGTTTTTATGAATGTGAATTTGAATTATAGACAACTTGAACTTAGAGAAACCTATGCTTGAAGAATAGGCCCTTACTAATTATCTTTCTTTTATAGGATTTGATTAGATTTCTGTTATTATGCTCTCTTTTGTTATGCTTTATTTATGGTTCAATAGTACAGGGTGGTTATGCTTCTGGTTGAACATGTACATTTCCAACATTATCTTTTTTTGCATCATTGGGAACCTTTTGTGTGCTAAATGCTAAACAGTTAAGCATGTTGAATTGTGGTCAATGCATTCTTATTCTAGTCTTTTATGTGGTTTTACTTTGTACAGTTTTGGCATATTCAACGCATTGAGTTTCCTTAAGCTCCATATGACAATTTTTTGCGTTGTTTCTCTTTAAAGTGTCTAGACGATATAGATCTTCATTCTCGTTGTTGTAGAACTTGGTTAATGGATTGTACTTTGAGCTGCCAATGATTACTAAAATTCATTGTGGTACTTTGTTCTGGCTTTCTCTGCATTTTCTCTATTTATGTTTGGGCTATAATGCCTTGTACATTTTATTATTTATTTATGCTTAATATTTAGTGCCTTCTAGTTTAAAGAAATCAACCTAACGAGGCTTTATTATAACTGCTGAAGATTACCATAACAATATGAGCCAGCGGAACCCTGTACAGGAGGCCCAAGAACTCCTTTAACTTCCTAGGAGGTTATCAAACACTGAAACCAGGAACTTCTTTAACTTCTTAGGAGGTTATCAAACACAGAAACCAGGAACTTCTTATTGTAACTTATATCTTCTCAGCAAGGAGGAACTTCCAATTTACAGTTCATGAACTTGCTTCTAGTTATCAAACAGGCCCTATGATTCAGTTTTGTCAAACACACTAATTGCTAGGTATTTTGTGGTTGAAGAAATTGAAGGTGAAAAATGAGGATGGTTGGTTTAACTGGAGGGATTGCTTCAGGGAAGAGCACAATTTCAGGTTTCTTCAAGGCCAATGGCGTACCAGTCGTTGATGCCGACATAGTTGCTCGAGTATGAGCCATGCACCCCCATTTTTTTTTCATTGTTTTAAAACTATCCACTCCTTGTTTTATTGTCTTTCTTTAATATTTTCCTAATTTTGGTTTATTTTCTCTCACATAATTCCCCATGTTGATTAACAATTATTAAGAGAGGATTGTGATTGTGCAACAATTATTAAGAGAGGATTGTGATTGTGCTTTCTCTGTTTGTATACTGGTGTCGTCTGTTCAAGCATCTGATTTTGATATATAATTGGGTTTTGGAAGAGTTATTGGCAACCGAAATTGTTAAGAAAAAGTTTATACATGGTATCAACATTACATTATAGAAATAAGGCGCACCTCAAAACTCATTGGAAAGTGTTATTCTGATGCTAGAAAGGCCTTTGAAACGATTGAAAACTGATGATCCAAATAATATCATATACAAGATGCACCATTTTTAAGATTATATATATATATATATATATATATATGGGGAAAGTATATACTGAGATCATTTACCTTTGGTACAAAGTGGTTACAGTTAATCTTGACCATTGGATGTGAAATTGGGTGGCTGTATTTATTTAATTGACCAAGCTCAAAGTTCAAAAGAAATTTTCTCGAATTTTCTAACACACCCAAGCTATCAGATTTCACATTGGATGGTTGTAAGTAATTGTGACCTTCCTGTACCAAAGGTAAATGGTCTCATTGTATACAATCCCATAGATATATAGGGAAATGCTGTAGGCTACATATGAGTCTAATGACCCAGATTCAATACGGGAGACAAGATTTTATTTCGTATTTGAATTTTAATTTTTTTTTACAAATCCAAATCACGTGAAATTTTGGGCGTCTATTCTTCTCATCAAGGCGCACCTAATAAAAATATTAATTTTTTTTTGCAAAATATAAATGGACCAAAATACCCCTAAAAAGTTTCAGAGGTATTTTGGTCAATTTATTTTTCATTAAATATTTTTTTGATATTTTTATTGGATTCTCTTATTTTTTTAGAATACGTGCCCAAAATTTCAAGTGATTTGGATATGTAGAAAATAATGAAAATTAAAATATGAAATGAGGTTGTGTTCGTTAGTTCAGCCTAGATTGAATCTGGGCCATTGGGCTCATATGTAGCTGTAGGCTAGTACCGTGTCAACATTTTCCATATATATATATATATATATATATATATATATATCATTTCAAATTTTTATAAATCAGCCAGATCTGTATCATATTTGGAGCTCTAAATTTCATAATTAGGGATGGAAATAGATTTTCACTCCATTGTAAGGATTTCCAACATCAAAATTTCATTTTCATGCATGGTTTGGAGTTGAGTCTTACTTTGATTGTTTAAGGTTTACACCTTATACAAACCACACCCCAATTGTTAAATCAATAATTTGAGGGATTTTATATATATTTTGTTTTTTGTTTCCTCATCTTGAAAGGGTTCTAGTGCTTATGGAGCTCACTCTAACGACTTTCTCAACCTTAATGTATTGTTAGGGACCCAATTTAATAAGACAATTACTGAAAACTAGAGGGCAAGTTGTGGTGTTATAGTTCGGGAATATTTTTTTACAAGCAGGGGATTGGGGAATAAAAACATAAGTAAATATTCATCCATGGTAGAGGCATATGTGGACGTACGTGGGTATGTGTTTTGAAATGGACATTCCCTAGCCCTTGCTTCTTCTTTGTGAATTTTTGTGTAGCCAAAAGTTAAAACATGAAATAAATGGTGAAGATATGATGATGATCATCATCATCATCCAAGTTCTTATCCCAATTATTTGGAGAAATGGTAAAGATAATAATGGGTAAAAAATTTGTTAGTTAACCAGTTTCAAAAAAAAAAAATGTTATAGTACACAGAAGTGTGACGAAATGGTATCGTGTTCATGCTATTGTCTTGAATGATACATGTCAGTTCCTGTCTGTACATACAATGCATTAGCGGTTTTTTGTCCCTGATGCCATTCTTGATTCAACTTGAAGACATGGTATACTTGTTATATTGTTCATGTCACAATTCATGGGCAAGGTGGAGTATCATAGGAGGAACTTCGGCGAAGGATCATCTTGTTTGTGCATGACAACCTGAATTGGTTGATAATATAAGAAACATGTGGGTGTTTCATTGTTTCAAAAGCAGCCTGCCTATCTCCTAGGCGGGCCAGGGGGGCTTGAGCCCATCACCCAAGTGTAGGCGGCCCTTCTGGGCGCTGGGTCCCTGCCCTAGGTGGGCGCCCAAGGACTGAGCCTTGGGTGTTCATCCAGGGACTGTGCCCACCCCTTTTTGTGACCTTAACCCCTTTTGTGACCTTGTAGAGAGAAAATTTTGAAAAAAAAATGCATTTCTCTTAGAAATCTTGAAAAACGTGAATAACAAACTTGGGCTGCCCAGAAATCTGGGCGATCACTTGGGCGACCAGGATCCCCCTCGGCCACCTAGGCACACTAGCATTTTTTGGAACATTGGTGTGTTTGTGTGTGCAATGTATCTATATGTATTGTACTTGTTTTTATCTTATTTCCTTTCAGCTTTTAGATCCTCAGCTTTAGTACCCCTAAGAATAGTAGTTGAAAGTAAACTTATAAGTCCATCACGGCATTGGTGCCGAACATCACTACCTTCATTAATTGCTTGCTTTTGGTTACCAATAAAAGAAAAAATATGCTTGCTTTTGGTTATCTTAAATTTTCAGGGATGAAGGATAATCAAAGTTGTTGTTGTCTTGTGTTATTCGAAATGCTCTTGGGTCCCCTCTTATTTAGTGATCTTGCATTGTTAGTGTTCTTGGAAAATTTAGTGTCTTAACTTGCTTTGTTTTCTGCTACAATTATATTGATTGCAGAATGCTCTGAGAAAAGGTACAGGAGGTTGGAAAAGGGTTGTTGCTGCATTTGGGCAGGACATATTACAAGATGATGGAGAAGTTGATAGGGCACGCTTGGGCCAAATTGTGTTTACTGATCCCTCAAAGCGTCAACTTCTTAACAGGTGGGACTTGCAAATATTTTCCTTTTCATGCCCATAATTTGTGGTTTAGCCTTTATGAATGTGAATTTTGTAGTGTGCAAATTATTTTGCCATGATACACAATTTACTGGTTCACCTCTATCAAGAGCATGCTTCTTTGTCCAACTAAGGAAAGCCCATTTTAGTGCACCATACATTTCAAGAGATAATCCATCTTGTCCATAGATTTCTACTGGTTCTAATCCTTGACGTACGATGCCATGTATTTGCCTACCAACAATACGGGGAATACTTAACTGCCATCAACGATATTGCTAGATGCGCATGTCTATCTTCAACGAGGAATATACACTTTTCCCCAATTTCGACGAGACCCCATTCAAGAAAACAAGAGAGAAATATGTTCCAAATTACTACATCTTTCATAAAAACTCTATCCATCATGTTCATGTTTTACCCACATGGAAAATTGCATCATTTGTAGCACATATGCATAGTATTATTGTCCACGAACATACCTGAGATAACTCGCTTACAAACTTTAAAATGGGTTAAAATGAATGCATTGCAGTCACGAGCTCTTTCCATTAGGACTTGGTGACTTGTTGTTGAGGCTCTCAAAGCAATAGCTCAGCGTAATCACCCCCATCTTCACCATCTTAAACCACCATTGCCACCATTATCTTCCCGGCCAATAGCATGTTCTTCATTGAAGATAGGACCTTCTTCTTTCTTTTCATCAAAGAGGTTTCAGCAACTTCATCATCATAAATTGATTTTCTACCAAACTCGAATCCTCATTAGGGTACGCATCAAAGATTGGTAGTAAGTCCCCATGATCACTATAGGTCCTCTTCGTCATTATAATCATCAACAACATGATAGCCTTCGAAAGAATGCTTGCTGTCCTCATCATAAAACCTCGGGATCTCAACCTTGAGACCAGTTTCCCACCTCCTACTATCCGTATCCTTATGATCAGCTACCTCTGTCCTTGGAGCTTGATAATGGGAGGGTTTTTTGGAGTCCTCATCTGCCTTGATCTTATATTGTTGAGATGGAGCTTCCATCTGTGCCAAATGCAGAGCTAGGGTTTCGACCAATCTCCTCAGATCTGCAATCCCTTCTCGCGAACTAGCATCAAATGCTTCTAAAGTTGTTGCTTTTCCTCCTTTTCCTCTGCGTGGAGGCATGGTTTGTGATCTAGGGCACAAAAATTGATGCTACAGTACCGTACTACAGTATCTTGCTAGAGTACTATGCTATAGTCACATGCGACAATACCATCTTTATTGATCGTTGTGCTCTGATACCAACCTGGCGCAAACCTAGTAGCTTGAGTTAGGGTTTTAGCAAAGAAGAAGATAAGGAAGATAAAAAAATAGAGAAAAATTAAAAAACCAGAGGTAAAAGGAGCACTTGCTGCTCTAAGGTTTTGAATAAATTTCCATGACATGATCATCCATTATGCTTGAGTACATCCCTTATATAAGAAAATCCTAAACAAGACTTAATCCTGGCCATCTATCCAATCTAATCATGGCCTTTATTAGAAAAGACTTTAAGTGAATAAAAAGTTATAAAAGACTTTAAAAATTACTACTTATGCCCCTAAGTGAATAAAAAGATTCAAGAAATAAATGAAAACATAAAAAGATAGACACAATGACTAATTTCCCCTTCCGTGGTTCCTCTTGTAAACTTTAAGCTTATTTCTCTTGTCTAGATACTTGAGAGCGGTATTTTGAGCTGCATCAATTTGTTTGCAGGATGCGCAGCTTGAAAATGCTATGGTCTTTACCCCTCTCTCTCTCTCTCCTTGTGAGATGGCAATTGTGCACTTACATCCCCCACCAGTGTAAGATATATAGGGATAAGGGTACTTCGATTTTATTCCTCAGAAATGTATTTTTCTTATCAAATTTCAAAACCAATGCCTTTTTCATTACGTCGTTGAGGATTTTGAATCTGAGTTAAGACAGGGCAGACAAGTCTTATGTACCTTAGTTTTCGAATAGTGACATTCTGGGCACAAGAAGATGCATTGGAAGGATTCTCTGCATAGCTTGGCCCTAATTTACTGTCAACAAAATCCTTCATAGCACAACGGTGGGGCCTTGGGGTAAACCACTGCAGCAACATTGCTCATACTGATACTGGTGAAATCCTCGAGATGCAAAAGAGTTTGAGGAAGAACCAATTTTCTCTTTGCCAGTAACACAATCCAACTGTAAATGGCTGACACTTTCGTCTCGTTCTTTATGCATTATGCATCATGTGCAGCACCGTGGCTTCCCATGAAGTTTCCTTCCCAGGGCTATTCTTCTACAACCTCACTTGTGTCCTAATTGGATTGAGTGTGCTTGTCCTTGTTTAATGCACCCTTTAAGGTGGAAGTTTATTATACTTTAGAGAGGTGCTCTTCTAGTAATAAGAAGAATACAAATGAGAATTTAACCAGTGTTTTAAAATGAGAGTCCAAGCCTCGCTTGTCATAGACTCTCTTTAAAGAGTACCAGCTTACCAATGCCTTGCTTTTGTAACTCCTTTCCCCTTCTAATGTCTTACGTCACTTTGATGTCGGAATTTTTTCATTTTCTATGTCTAGGCCTTGCTACACTATGTAGTTTTGTGGTGGTAGCATCCCCACACCCAGTTACCACATAGTGGTATCCAGTCCTACTGCTGACACCCCCAATTAACACCTTCAAAATGTGACTCCCTAATCTATTGAAAAAAAAGGGTAGGGGCCTGTCTTGCCCACTGAACCACCCAAAAAAAAAGAAAAAAAAGAGAGAAGCAGAGTGGTGGGAAGACCAATTGACAAATTAGATTTTGGGAGTTTCTATTGATAGAAAGGGAAATGGCATTGACGTTGGGTGTTTCATTTGGTGACTAGGTAAGAGCTGACCAAAGAGGTAGAAAAGGGGGTCGTGTATGTGTGTGTGTGTGTGAGAGAGAGAGAGAGAGAGAGAGAGATAGAGATAGAGAGAGAGAGAGAGAGAGAGAGAGATGAATTGACGTTGACTTTTTTGTTTCAGTGGGATAGAGAGAGATGGAATTGAAGTTGGGTTTTTTGTTTCAGTGGTTAGGAAGAGAGATGGTATTGAAGTCAGTTTTCTCTTGTGATGGCTGAGAGAGGGATAGTGTATTGCAGTTGCGTAGTGTGATGTGTAGGAACTAACCAGTTCTTCCCATAGTTCCACAGCGGCATCGTGGTAACATTTCTCCTATCCGATGCTGCTTCCATAAAACACATGCACACACTTGAACTTGGACTTCCCCCCTTCTGCTTGCATCTTTATTCTTCTTCCAATGTCCTTCTGAACCATTCGAATACTGTGCCTGCCTTCTAATACTGCTCTCTCTCTCTCTCTCTCTCTCTCTCTCTCTCTCTCTCTCTCTCTCTCTCTCTCTCTCTACTCTACTACTACTACTACTACGTACTACTACGTACTACTACTACGTACGTACTACGTACGTACTACGTAACTACTACGTACTAACGTACGTAGTAGTAGTA